CTAACAAGTAAACTTCAATTGGTTTCTTTATTATTTTCATCTTATAAAAAATTTAATAATATATAATTGAAGTTAGTTTAAGGTAATTTCATCTTATTTAATGCTGTAAAATGTAACTATTTCCTAGTATTTTTTACCAATTACTGTATTACATTACTTAAAAGCAAAATCATAAAATCTATTTTCGTTTAGTGTTATTATTTCAAAGAAGTGATTAACCATCTTAATGCCAAAGTCACTAACGTAATGTGTTTTCAATTCCCCCAATGGGGCACAAGTTATTGTTTCGTATGATTTCATAATCTAATCCAGCTTCTAATTCTGTATGTACTTAATAAGGTGTGCTTAATGCTGTTTACATGGCAACTGCTAGTACTCTGACGAAGGGAAAAATCTATTGGTAGACACTGTGGCAAGCTTTCATGGATGTTTCTAATTAAGTAAAAATGGAATTATTAAGTCTTCAGAAAAAAAAAAATTAAAGTATTAATAACACATCACAATGTTGCAGTATTCACGCTTCAAAAGGAAGGTTGGTATTTGGATAAAAATGTTTAACAGGAAAACAAACAAAAGTTTAATGAAAATTATATACTAAGAAACTATATTATTTAGTTATTTATTTTATTCTGATTTTATATTCTTGAATAATTTGATTACAAAAATAAAAATTAAAATATATATAAACCTAAAATTTATCACACCAGTAGAATGAAAATAAAGGTAATTAATAAAAGATCAATTGACAATGAGATTCAAAAATTTTCATTCATACAAAAATATTGTAAAGTCATAATATCTTTGATTCTCTTGAGAAAATAAAATTGAGAAGATCATTAAAATGATTGGATCAAATTACAGAACAAAATGAAAAGCAAGCTAAATACAGAGCACACTGTTTATTACAATATTTATACCTGTAGCAGCAATGACTCATTGCTATGACAATACATGTTGAATTTTACACAAGCTTATTTATGCGATATTTGATTTGTGTCTTGGGTTTTCTTAAAAACATAGTCGCCTGTTTGAACTGTACATTAAAGTTCCTCTTTTAAGAACCTGTAGAAACTAACATGATTATAATACTGTGTTGAACAAACAAAACTTCAACAATATTTAAATTAATATTGAACTGACATTAGACATTTAAAAGTAAACTTCAATATTAAGTTGGAAAGAAAAATGAATTTCCTTTCCAATTAACAATATGCATAATATCTCTTCCTAGAGTAGTATAAAACAGGTACACCTTAAGACCTACTCATTCATTGCATTCCTAATTGGCTAGAGGTATTTTGCTCGTCCTTTTACGCTTTTTTTTAATCAATTTTCTTCGAGAGCAATGTGACTTTAATAGATCACATTTGGCAATCCTGTATGGCTATCATCAGAATTATTATAACATCTGTAAGTGTTTTTGGATGTTTTATTTTATTCTAAGGAAGAAAACTAAAATTTAATAATTTATGAAACTACTGTATTCTAGAGCACATCAGCCTTATGCATCATGTAAAAATTAAATATAACTAATTACCAATTGATCATTAACTGAAACACATTATATTTAGAAAACAGCTCAATGATAACATAATTAATAAACTGAAACCAAATTAACCTTTTAGTGGAAGTTTTTGGGTAATTAGAAGCTCACATTCTAATCCCATAGTCCTTGGTTCAATCCAATTCATAATAAAAAATATCTGGATTTGGTATCATTGAGGAACCTGTAAGCATCTTCACCAGATGTATCATCCTTAAGGTGTAAAATATAAAAATACTGTATTCTCTTTTTTATAAAGATTTATAGTGTCTTCAACAGATCATCTGATGATGTGTTGAAAAAAAGTAAAATATTATTTATGCCACAAAACCAGGTAAATTATACTCCAAGGAGACAAAGATCAGACAAAAGTGTCACATACACTATAAATAACTCTTCTTGGTTGGAAGTTGGCAACTCAAATCCATAATCCAACCAGTCATATATTTACTAGTGAAAGTTCAGTGAACAATTTCACTCATCAAATTTAAATGCAAATTCCAGCTGGTACTGTAGGACTATTTTGGAATGGCTTTAGTACAGTGCATGTTTAATTCATCTGCACTTCAACAATTTACATTTTGATGAATGAAATAGCTGTTAGTAGTAAATTATAATGGCTATAGAAGTACTGGAATATAAAGGTGAGATGGCGATGCCTGGTTTTGTATCTGTACTGTATGCAATAAAATGGCACACTTGTGCAAGTCACATACAGTAACTGTGACAGGATTGGATTTTATCAGGAAGCAATATCATGAATGCAAGTGGTCATGAAAATGTGCTGTAAAACTATTCCTTAATACTTATCTTTTGATTTTTTTTTTTATTGTGATGCTTTTAAATCAGGAAATTTTAATAGTGAATGATGTTTGTCCTGCAGTACCTGACATGAAAATAGACTTTGTACTTTTATGTGATATTACTTATTCATAAAACAAACATGGCTATTAATGGTTGATATTTTTTTTTTCCTTTCTTTCTCTTCTTATACACCCAACACGAGGGAATGTGTACAAGTTCTTGATGCAGCAGTAGAGAATATAAATGAGAACTTGCAAAGTTCAAATTATCCAGGTGCTGATCATGCATCGTAGTATAATGTTGACCAAGTGGCTACAGTTACATCATTAAATGTCAATCATTAATTTATGTACAATGTAAAATATTCCTTTTGAAAGGATTGGTTGGAATTAAATACAGGATTTCTACAGTATAATTAAGGTTATCATTCTTTATGTGGTATTATCAATAATAACTAATATTGATATCAATAATAGTATTATTATTATTATTACTTTCCTGTGACTGGAATAACAGTAGTAGTAGTAGTATGTGATTCAAAAGAATATGAAAATGAAGAGGGTATTTTGTATAGATAACAGTTTGATCATGGAGGTATTGAGAAGATCACTCGGCAACAGAGTCCTTTGACGTGACAAACCAACGTGTTCCCCGCCTTTGTATCATGCGCGGGCGTATTGTCTTACTATTAACATTTTTTTTGTTAGCAACATCTTGGCAACGACATGGTTTTATACGCTTCAACACGGCAGTTGTGAGATAAACCATTTGATTTCAAGTCATTAAATATTTTTAAAATCAACAATTTTTTTTTACTGTTATTACTGTATGTGTATATTTCAGGAACAGATTCCACATTCTGTACAACTACTTCGGTGTTTATTATAATTCTGTCTAAATATTGATTGGTTCGTCATAAAGCTAAGGCAGTGTAAGCTGAAATTTACTTTGGATTTTCACTAAAATGACTTAGTTTATTATAATCCGCAATGATTCGTTAAGAAACTGTTAAAATTATAATTATCAAGTTTTATCCAATTTATCAAATATCAAGTCAAAATATTCCATACTTTTAAAGTTTATGTAAATGCTTTATTAAATTTTTAACTCTATTTTGTAGAAATGTTAGTATGTTTGGAATAACATGAAAGATAAACGATGAGCTTAAAGGTGGAAATGATTGCGCAGCCATAGTGATTAACTGTAAGTAGTGCGCATTGAGGACAGAAGGTGCTCTCTATTTTGCCATGTTCAATTTTTTGGTAAACTAAGCCTGCTCAGCATTTGGTGGCAGGGAACACATTAGACCTTCTTCACGCGCTGCTGCAGCTTTGTTCTTAGCTCATTTGCATAGCGCTGCATGCACGGAGCTTTTTCGAGTGATCGCCTTCTCAATAATACCTCCATGGTTTGATAAAACCACAATGCTGAACATGCCAACACGAGAAACTTCTATTCTACTGTACATTTTGAAACAATGCAAGTTATAACTACAAATTTTAAGGTGATAGTTATGGGAATGATGTCATGTTTATTGGGAGGGGGTCACAGGCATGGATGGACTGTGCACTGGGGAACTTTCAAAAACAAGGCAGTAATATTTGAAAATGCATAAGAAATGAATTTGATGAAATCACAATGCTGAATACTTATGTAGGCCTACTACTGTAC